TCAGGTACTGGAAGGCTGCTATTAGGTCTCCCCGGAGCCTCCTCTTCTTCAGGCTGAACAACCCCAGCTCCCTCAGCCTGTCCTCGGAGCAGAGGTGCCCCAACCCCCTGATCATCCTTGTGGCCCTCCTCTGGACCCTCTCCATCAGGTCCATGTCCTTCTTGTATTGAGGGCTCCAGACCTGCACACAATACTCCAGGTGAGGTCTCACCAGAGCAGAGTCAAGTGGCAGAATCCCCTCTCTGGACCTGCTGGCAACGCAGCTTTTGATGCAGCCCAGGATGGGATTGGCCTTCTGGGCTGCAAGTGCCCACTACCTGCTCATGTCCAGCTTCTCCTCCACCAGCACCCCCAAGTCCCTTTCCTCAGGGCTGCTTTCCAATACCTCACCCCCCAGTCTGTACAGATACCGAGGATTGTTCTGGCCCAGGTGCAGAACCTTGCATTTGCTCTTGTTGAACCTCATGAGGTTCACCTGGGCCCACCTCTCCAGCCTGTCCAGGTCCTTCTGGATGCCATCCCATCCCTCTGGTGTATGGACACCACCATACAGCTTGGTGTCCTCTGCAAACCTGCTGATGGTGCCTTTAACCCCTCTGTCTACATCATTGTTGAACAGTATCGGTCCCAGCACGGACCCTTGAGGGACACCACATGGTTCCATGGTGGGACATGGTTCCATGGTGGGACATGGTTGTGGAACATGGTTCTAAGTTGGGACATGGTTCCATGGTGGGATGTGGTTCTGGGATGCAGTTCCATGGTGGGATGTGGCTGTGGGACATAGTTCTGTTGTGGGACACAGTTCCATGGTGGGACATGGTTGTGGGACGTGGTTCCATGGTGGGATGTGGTCGTGGTTCTGAGATGTGGTTCCATAGTGGGACATGGTTCCATTGTGGGACATGGTTCTGGGATGTGGTGGACGCAGGTCCATGGTGGGTTGTGGTTCCATGGTGGGATGTGGTTGTGAGACGTGGTTCCATGGTGGAACATGGCTGTGGGACAGGGTTCCATGGTGGGACGTGGTTCTGGGACACGTTTCCATGGTGGGATGTGGTTCTGTGGTGGGACGTGGTTCTGAGATGTGGTTCCATGGCAGGGCATGGTTGTGGGATATGGTTCCATGGTAGGACACGGTTCTGGGATGTGGTTCCATAGTTCCATAGTGGGACTTGGTTCTGGGACACAGTTCCGTGGTGCAATGTGGTTCCATGGTAGGATGTTGCATGGTGGGACGTGGTTCTGCAACGTGGTTCCGTGGTGGGACATGGTTCTGAGATGTGGTTCCATGGTGGACATGGTTCCATGATGGGACGTGGTTGTGGGATGCAGTTCCATGGTGGGACACGGTTCCATGGTGGGACGTGGTCCCATGGTGCAATGTGGTTCTGTGGTGGGACGTGGTTCTGAGATGTGGTCCCATGGTGGGACATGGTTGTGGGACGTGGTTCTATGGTGGGACACGGTTCCGTGGTGGGACGTGGTTGTGGGATGTGGTTCCATGGCGCAATGTGGTTCTGTGGTGGGACATGGTTCTGAGATGTGGTCCCATGGTGGGCCGTGGTTGCAGGGGGGGGGTGCCGGTGTCGTGTCCCCCCCCTCACACCCCGCCCCTCCCCCCAGCGCTGATGTACGCCAGCATCTTCGGGAACGTCTCGGCCATCATCCAGCGGCTCTACTCGGGCACGGCGCGGTACCACACGCAGATGCTGCGCGTGCGCGAGTTCATCCGCTTCCACCAGATCCCCAACCCCCTGCGCCAGCGCCTGGAGGAGTATTTCCAACACGCCTGGTCCTACACCAACGGCATCGACATGAACGCCGTGAGACACCCCCCACCCCACCCCTCCCCACC